ACAGTGGAAACATTTTTTAGTGGTCAAGTTGCTGAGCGGGTGGTTTCCATGGCAGAAATTCTTTACTTTGGGCACGCTTTAAGTACATTCAGCATTATGCATTTCTAGTTTCAAGACCATTAGAAGATTGTTTTGTGTCCAAAGCTTTTCTTTTCAGCCAAAACAACCCAGATTCTGGCTAACATTAACTGGATTTAAAAGATAATTTTATAAAACATAGTATACATTAATCACTGACCAGACATTGCTAAAATCTAATTTAGGCTCCCTCTTCCCTCAAATTGAAAAAAAATAAAAAGCCAGGACTTAAGTGATCATAATCTGCAGAATCCTCATTTGTGTAGGTGATTACTACAAATGACCTATGAAATAATACTGTCAAAGTAAACTGTCTGAACCCGGGATCATATGGAGCCACGCTGGTGATACTTACCTGGATGATTCTGTCCCTCCTTCTCGCTTGCCCGTGGACACACTTACCTCTCATCCCTGGTTCATTCCAATTTCCTGTCTAATACCTTTCAGAGGCAAAGATAAAAGCAGAAGCCTTCCACTGGCAGGTTTTTAAACTTCATATGACTGGCCATTTAGGCTATTGTTCAAGTCAGTAAAAGGGTGGAGGAAGAATAGTGTGACCACTTGTGTTGACGGAGTACTGAGTGAAGAGGGCAGCCATGAATCGCAACCGCGAAGTCCATAGTAATCTGTAGCTGGCTCTTCGCCCTCAGCATTTGAGAACACAGCGAAGGTAGGAGTGGTACAGAACTGCAGACCCCATTCTCCTACTAACAGAGGCACAGGCTACTATGCCAATTCTGCCCTGGAAAGAAGGCCTTCTGTGGAGATATTTTTTTTTTTTCTAAGAGTAGTCTGAAATATTTTTTATTTTTTATTTTTTTAACCTCAAAACTTCTGCTTTTAAATGGTGGAAACTGTATCAGCCTCCTACTGATGTAACAAGTTACCACAGACCGTGCCTTAAACAATACAAATTACCATCTTAATAGTTTTGGAGGTCGGATGTTTGTCATGGGGGGAAATCAGGGTGTTGTTGGGCCATGCTCCCTTCTGAAACTCTAGAGACTAATCCATTTCCTTGCCTTCTCTGGTTTTTAGATGCCACGTACATTTCTTGGCTTGTGGCCTCCACCACCACCTTCAAAGCCAGCAGCATAGCATCTTTACATCTCTGTCTCTGACCCTCTGCTTCCGTGATCACCTCTCTTTCTCTCACTCTGATTCTCCTGCCTGCTTCTTTCCTTTATATGGACTCTTGCTATTCCATTGGGCCTGCCTGAGTAATCCCGCATAACCTCCTCACCTCAAGATCCTTAACTTATTCACATCTGGAAAGTCCCTTCTGCCTTGGAAATAAGCATATTCCCAGGTTCTGGGTTAGGACATGGAGTTCTGGAGGAGGCCATTATTCTGTCTGCCCCAGAAACTGATTCTCTCGCTCTCTCTCTCTTCTTTTTAAATGCAGCCCCAAATAAAACATGTTTGTGGCTACCACTTTGTGATTCTAGTTACACTGTGGCTATCCCATCCCTGAGAGTGCATGTCTGTCCTTTAGAGATATGTGTATCTTGGCTGACAGTCATTCACAGGATAATAGCTGAAGAAAGAGGAATGTCTATAGCCTTCATTGATGGGAAATTCTCAGAGAGGACCTAGACATGATGCTTACCTGAGACGGCACCACTTTGGACTGCCCAGCTGGAGCACCTCTGGAATTTGCTCTAGATGGAATGACTCAGGGTTACTAACCCTTGAGGGGAGGATGACCACTGAGATTAAGGGTGAGGGTTTACAAAGGTGGAGGTTTGCATCTCAGAGATTACATAAGGAGCAGTGATTACACCAGAAAGGTGCAGACAGGGCAACAGGTTATGAGTTGGGGAGGGTTCATGCAGGAACTACTGCAAGGCCCTCAACTTGCTGGGTGCTTTGCCCCTGGACTATCTCTCTTAGACTAAACTACTCCTTTTTCTGCCCAGTTCCTTTGGTTAGTTTGCCAATCAGTAACAATGATATACCTGTACTGCTTTGTAGGGTGACACTATGGGAAACAAATAGGTTGGGCAGAAAAAAACAACAACAGCCTTTCCTGTTGCTGGCCCCATGTGAAGGAAGGGCGGCCTCCATCAATGAGGACAGTGCAAGTTCTAGATGGTTCCCAGCTGCAGAGTGAGTCATGGCGATGCCAGAGCAACTCCCTGGGTTCAGGAAAGACATGAGGGACAAATCTCATTCCTCAATATACAAGAGGGAGGTGTCTCAGTGCAGAGAGAGGCAGGTGGAGGGACAGTGCTGACACAGGTTAAAGTCATTTGTGACATTTTACATGCCTGCTGGGATAACTGTCCACTAATCAGACCACTAACATTTGCCTTTGGCTATAACAGTTTGAAAGATTCACATATTGGTTTTTGACAAGATTTCAGTAAAATTCATGGAATTTACTAAACACTAGTTCCTGTTATTATTTTCCACTTCATAGATCAGCAGAATAATTTTTCATTCACGCCTAGCTGACCTGTGGTCATAGGTGACCTCTCTTAGGTCATAGTTTCCTCTTAGTTCTTGCAACTTTAACTGTTGCTGCTGCTTTTTCCTAGGGAGGAGCTTGGGCACAGATGCTGCCTGGCACAATGAATGTGGCATTAGCCGTCCTCATAACAACAATCTGATAAATCAGTCTGTTGGCAACTCATGTGGATCTGGCAAAGAGGTAATGGGCACAAGTACTGGGCAATGTTTTCATCATGATTTATGATCTGCCCAGGTCAAAACTGAAGCGGGTCGGGTCAAGCTGAACTGGAATCATGTCTGGCTGGAGTTTTCTTGTCTGTTGGCAAAAAGCACTGGGCTTTCTATCTGATTCCAACAAGTATTAGACATTTTACTGAGAATGCGTGTACGCACACTGCAAACACAGTGTGAAGAAAGACATTGTCTTATTCATGGTTGTAAACCCAGTACCTCACTTAGCAGGGGTCAGGTTTGCTCTCAGTAAAGAAACTATATATAGGCCGGGCGCAGTGGCTCAAGCCTGTAATCCCAGCACTTTGGGAGGCCGAGACGGGTGGATCATGAGGTCAGGAGATCAAGACCATCCTGGCTAACACGGTGAAACCCCGTCTCTACTAAAAAAATACAAAAAACTAGCTGGGCGTGGTGGCGGGCGCCTGTAGTCCCAGCTACTCGGGAGGCTGAGGCAGGAGAATGGCGTAAACCCGGGGGGCGGAGCTTGCAGTGAGCTGAGATCCGGCCACTGCACTCCAGCCTGGGCGACAGAGCAAGACTCCGTCTCAAAAAAAAAAAAAAAAAAAAAAAATTATATGTAAGTGGAGTTGGCTGTGGTCATGCAGCACCTGTGTCACCTCAGGCAAGATACTCAACCTGTAAAAAGAAAACATCTGTCTCCCAGGAATCTCCTAAGGATTCAGTGAAGTCATGGATGTGAAGGTATTCTGTAACTCTGAAGTGTCATGTAAATGTCTTCAGTGGTTATTATATGCAATTTGAGTTAGATCTTACCTTTTCTGTGTACTATTTTCTTTAACAGAAAACACTGATAATTTCATTGATTAACTGACCTACCTGCCTTCTAAATGGTTACAATTCTTATCTAAGGGCATCTCAGCTAACTAAGTGGCATAGGGCCCATATGTCATTTTTTAAAAAAAGTTGTTTTGAAATTTTTCCTTGGAAAAAAGAACAGAACTGAGTCCACATCCATATCAAACAGCATACGTGACACCCAGTAGGAAAAACTCATAAATATCTGCAGGAGTCAATTGAGGATGAAGATTTGGGTTTGTTTTATTAGTGATTTTATGGAAGGATTGATATTACTAATCTCATTAAAGAAGGCATGGGCAAACCTCCTCTTACTAAAACAGAGTTAATTGGTTTGAAGAAACCAAGCTGAGATACTTTGGAGGGAGGAACAGATTCAGTCATTGACCAAGTATTGCCCATGCCCAAAGGCACTGGTTTACTTGTTGCTGAAAACAACTGGAACACTTCACACTCCACCTTATTATGAACTAGAACAATGGAGTTTTATGAAACTCCTCCAATGTACCAAGAAGCTGGTGAACCACAGGCTGCCTGAGTCATAGACTGTCTCTGAATTTGGCAGAACTTAGGCCATTGCTTCTTAACTCAATTTTGGTTTATTTGTTAATTTTTCATAATTAGTTCATATTCTCCTCAGGTCACAGATCTCTACCTGATATTAAATTGGTTGCTTGACTGATTTAATTGAGTGATTTGCATTTGCTCATCTTATCCTTTTGGTCGTTAGGAGGGAGTTAATTTTGTAACAAAGCTTCACTGTTGCCTGGTTGACTCTGGAGGAATCTTCAGCCTGCCTGAAGCGTAGTGTGCTGCTGCGAGAGGTACCCCCTTCCTTATGGGGATATAGATTTGTGGGGAACAATGAATTAATGCTGCAGTTTTATCTCCAGCATTAAGGGAAGCTTAGTGGTAGCAAAGGAAGAACATGAATTTTGGAGGCCAGAATAAAATGATCTTAAATACTAGTTTGACATTTTTCTTGAGTGAACATTGTCACATTATTTTACCTCTGGATTATAATAGACCCTTGAAATATTTAAGTAACAATCTTGAGGCATGGGAATCCTCAAATGTGAGAATACTACAGAATATTTCTGGAGAGCTACAATAGAGAGGTGAGAAGACAAACTCAAGCTGAAATAGAGGTGCTCAGAATAATTCCATCTTACTCCCTGATTAAAGACTTGCTCAACTACTTCAGCCTTCCACTTGGCATCAGCATCAAATGAATGCTTTTGAAAAATTACACATTATACACTTTTGGGGTTACTGGCAAATAGCTAAGATCCCCAAGGTTAAGTCTTCAAATGACAAGTCTACTATAATACCTACTTCTTAATTTTGTTGTAACAATCAGAAAATGTAACATAGGTAGAAGAGTTAGAACATAGTATAATCATTAAATATGACACTCCTTCCTTCCAAAATAATGTTTATTGGATAAATCAAGAAATATTGGTAAGGGAATTGCTTCTCTTCCTGTAGAAGTATGATAAGTGTAGGCAGTCTTCGGACATTTTTTCTAGAATTCTCTAGACTCATCACCTTGGAAACATTGGTTGTGTCCATACATTGGGTCTGTGGCCATATGAGGAAGAAGCCAGGTCATAATTGCTTGTTCACCCCTCCTCACTCCTCCCTCTTCTTGATTCTCTGTGAGGTAGGATTTGAGCTTATCTACAGTATGTATGTAGAGGGGAGGGAGGTTTTATTTTTTAAATTCATTTTCTTATTAACTAGATTTTTGTCAAATTTAAAAGGTGTCTTAAAAGATGGATTACATAATTAACATAAATCTCTGAAATAAATTAACAATAAGAAAGGAAAATTAAAAGAATCAACACTAACGTATTAAACGCAGTTAACCCTTGAACAACATGGGGGTTAGGAGCACCAGCTCCCCCATGCAGTCAAAAATCTGCATATAATTTTTGACTCCCCCAAAACTTAACTACTAATTGGCTACTGTTGATTCAAAGCTTTATTGATAACAAATAGTTGATTAACACATATTTTGTACATGTATTATATACTGTATTATTAAATATAGTAAGCCAGAGAAAAGAAACTGTTACTAAGAAAATTATAAGGAAGAGAAAATATATTTACCATTTATTAAGTGGATCATTATAAAGGTTTTCATCGTTGTCATTTTCACATTGAGTAGGCTGAGAAGGAGGAAGAGAAGGGGTTGGTCTTGCTGTCCTAAGGTGGCAGAGGCAGAAGAGGTGAAGAGGTGGGAGGGGAGGCAAGAGAGTAAGGCATACTTGGTGTAACTTTTATTGAAAAAAAAATCCATGTATAAGTGGATCTGCGTGGTTCAAACCTTTGTTGTTCAAAGATCAACTGTATATTATAGTTCATGTGAGAAGTCAGGGTCAGAGCAAGAAAGGCAAGAAGTTGTCTAAAACAAATAATCTGTATCCCATAATTCTTTCACATACACACAAATTAAATAGAACACTTTAAAAATTACTTCTACTGCTTCTAGTTTAAGATGTGCAAGATTTCATTTTAACATCTACTAAGAAAAAAGTAGAGATGCTCAAAGAGAAGTAAACTAATGACATTGTAGACAATGAAATTGTGGATAAACCAACAAATTATTTTAATAAACTTTTGGGAGATTGCAAATGAATGGGAATATCTTGGTGAATGAAATAGGCTAAGAAACTCATCATTTTATAGATGATAAGCTACAAGGAGATATTAGTCAGTCTCTTCTGCAAAATCCCAGAAAGTCTCTGGCCTGAGTCCATAGCAAGGGAGTAAGAACTGGAGTTGAAATCAGGGGATTTGTTTGAAGTCTGCAATGAAGCTGCTGCAACCAGTACATACCTCAGTCCTTCTTCCCCAAACCAACATGCAAAACACCAGGTGGCTCTTCTCTAAAACTGAACAATGTTTGGGAAAAGCAAAGACTTCTAGTCCTAGTCACCTATGGATAAAGCATAGAAGGCTTTTCTGTGCTTGCAGGACTGAATGCAAATATTAATAAATTTACATGGTAAAAAAACCCCCAAAAGTATAATAGGAGGATAGGAGGAAAAATAGAACATGTAGAAGAAAGGGTAAGGATGCCAATACACTGATACCATTAATGCAGTCATAAATATTTGCTGAGAACCTACTGGGTGCAGATGTTGTTTTAGGTACTCGAGATACAGAGAAAGGTGAAAAAGACAAAACTTCTTACCCTTATGAAGCTTACATTAAATTATGCTTTTAATAAGTGAGTTGCAAGAGATACTGCAAAAGCTGATGGGATAAGAAATAGAGGTTTAAATGTATTGTTTAAAGATATAAAGGTAACTGATAGAATTATTAATACTAATAATATATATTGAGAAGAGTAGAGATGAGTAAGTGACCTGAATTTTAAGCTCTCATGTATGGGATTAATTAGATACTATTTAAAGTGGATAAATCAAAACAGAGATAAAATCATAGTATCTGGAATTAGGGAGGTAACCACTAAAACTACAAGCAGAAACAATTGGAAGAGTTTGCTTCTGGGATGTGGTATTGGGGGTAAGAAGAGAAAGATATGGGTGCTATTTTTGCTTTTTATCATATATCCTATTTGCTTTGTTACCACGTGTGTATGTTATATTGATTAATATATATTTTTAAATTAAGTGACTTCTAAGAACAGTTACAGTTGAAGAAGGAGACCTATTTTTCATCTACCAAGTGTCATGGATTAGGCATAAAATCATTAGAAATGGATTTTCCTTTCTGCATCCTTTAGTAAGTGTTTAAAAATAGATACCATTTTGATGTCTCGTCTTGGCTGTAGTGAATGGTAGAGTCAAAATAATAGGTTTGTGAAGACAGGAGCTGGAAGTGAAAAATAACGAGAAGTTTGTACAGTGTGTTATCAGAATAGCTTGAGTGCAGTTCATTTGAACAAAGTAATGTTTTCATTTCTCCATTGTTTAACTGTGTTTAACCCGCAGTGTTAAGGAAATTTGGAGCTAACATTTATTGAATGCTTTTTTTGTATAAAGTACTTTGCATATGATAAGCCATTTAACCTGGTCAACAACTTTATGAAATTGGCATTAATTTTCACATTGGATAGATGAGGAAATTGAAAATTAGACACATAACAAAGCTTGCTAAAGGCAACCTAATTTTTAAGTGGAGAGCTAGGTTTCCAGAGTATAGGTATACACTATTATATATCTATTCCAGAGTATATATAGTATATATAGTGTAACATGTTTATCTTTTTTTTTTTTTTTTTTTTGAGACAGAGTCTCGCTCTGTCACCCAGGCTGGAGTGCAGTGGCGCAATCTCGGCTCACTGCAAGCTCCGCCTCCCGGGTTCACGCCATTCTCCTGCCTCAGCCTCCTGAGTAGCTGGGACTACAGGCGCCCGCCACTGCGCCCGGCTAATTTTTTTTTGTATTTTTAGTAGAAACGGGGTTTCACCGTGGTCTCAATCTCCTGACCTTGTGATCCGCCCGCCTCGGCCTCCCAAAGTGCTGGGATTACAGGCGTGAGCCACCGCGCCCGGCACATGTTTATCTTTATAAGCTATTGGGAAACATCTCCCCGTGTGAACAAGAAATGGAAGAGCTGCTAAAGCAAAGCCCTTGAGTAGACACACAAGTAATTTTAGGTAAGAGTACAAATAATTCATCAGTAGTGACAAAAATGGAGAGTACATGACTCAGATATAATTAGGCAGGTAGATGTGAAGAGCTCGTTTAAGTTCTCTTCGGATTTCTCCTGTTTTATCATTGAAAACGGGAGTTGGGTCATCAGTTAGGAGTAGCAGGAGAGGGGTGGGGTAAAGGTGTTGGGAGAAGTTTAAAGAGGAAAGGACAGGTGAATAAATGACTCCTGTAGGGAAGGTACTGGATAGTGTTGTCTGATGACATAAGATTCAAAGCTCTGTGTGTGTGTGTGTGTGTGTGTGTGTGTGTAGGGGTTAGGAGGAGAGATGGAAAAAGATTTAGAAGAGGAGCAAGGAGGACACATTTCCCACCTCCAGGCCTAGAGACCTGTAATGGCCACAACCTGAGAGGGCTGGAGAGGAAGCAGGGAACTCAGGGAAGAGGCGGCTTTTAGTTGGAGCCCTCTGGAGAGAGGAGCATTCATGGACATTTTGAGGATGTTGGGTAGTGATGATGCACTGAGCACTCTTCAGGGTACAGCAGAAGGGTTGGAGGAGTTGGGGATGAGGTGGGAGCTGGAGTCACAGCCTTATGGATATTGGGGTTTGGGTTTGTGGGATCTCCTGAGAGGCCTGAGTTTTTTGTGCTGACTGAAGTAAGTGAGGATAAAGAGAGAGAGTGGTAGAGACTGTGAGTCTCCATTGGGAGGGAGCTCGAAAGCTCCTCTGTTTTGCTGCCAGTGGAGGGGTGGAGGATGATGGCGGACAGCCTCATGGTGAGCATGAGTGGTTCTGGGGCCATCTCCTCACTTGTGTGAAATGAATCAACTTCCATGAGTGTGATACTTGTTCAATGTCTGTCTCCACCACCAGATGCTAAATTTACTCCATGAGGGTAGGGACAGTATAGCTTACTTTTGCATCTTCAGTGCCTTGAACAGTGCCTAGCACATACAAGGAGCCCAATAAATATATGTTGAATGAATACATAAGTAATGAAAGAATTGAGGATTCTTGGCACAGAGGTCAGTATAAGCAGCAATCTGATGAGGCTGCCAATAAAAGGATAAAGGGGATAATGTCCAGAGTGGAGAAGGTAATAATCTCTTTTTACTCCTCACTGGGCAGCATACATCTATAGGATTTTATCCATTTTTGGCCACTACACTGTAAGAAGGATGAAGTTCACTTCTTAGTATGTTAGGCAATTTTGGCTGCCAGAAAAAGGGACAACTTACGTCAGACTCTGTTAAGTACTGAGGGATTTCATGAAAAAATAATTGTAGGAGAAAGGCAACAGAAATCTCATGGAAGCACAGGAGTAGTTCTATATGTGGGCCTCATGGGGAATGAAACACACTTGGGGACCTGAGTTATTTAATGGCTCTCTCAGTGTCCAAAGGTTGAGAGTCAGTTCTCCCTCTTAATAGTGACTCAGCTCTTTTCTGTCTCTTGGTACTGCTCTAGGAATTCCTGATCAACCGTGTCACCCTTTATTCTAAATATACTTTTACCACTTCATATTTGCCTAGAGTTTCTGCTTATTCATTGTTTATGCTTAGTTACCCAATATGCTCTAAGGCTTTGAGGCTGCTCTTCCTCATCTTCCCCCATCATATCAGTCCAGATACTCTGTAATCACTTTGTAGACTTCTCTCAATATTTAAGCTTACCCAGTCAATTTTTCATTCCTATTTGTGGCTTTAAAAATGCTTCTCAATAGTTTTCTGTTCTCTCAGCTGTCTTCTCCTTTGTTACAAGAGGTCACAATTTCTTACTTGGTAGCAACTGACCCATCTTCCCCTTTTCTAAGCCCCTGAAAAGGGCAGGTGAAGGTGGGGGTGTCCTTTCCCTGTCATATCAATCTCTTCTGGTCTTCAAGATGGCATTTTAATCTTTCTACATGTCTGTGAAGATCTCAATCTTTTGGCTTAGAAAATCTCTCTTATCCCCCAGGTTAATCAGTCTGTCTTCTTCAGATTTTGTGGTTGGTTGTCTTCTGTTCCTCCTTTGGTGAGATAGAAACTTGCTTTCTAAACCACTACAGTTCCTACTTGAATTCCTAAGCAAATCTGACATCTAAGAGACAGAGAAGGTTACACACAATTTTTTGGTGCCTTTCTAGCATTTTATTGTAGGTTTGTGTTGATCTTGTTCAGTTACTTCTCTATTTTGGCCGATGATCCATATGTATATCTAAGTACTTATGGACAACACCAACTCAGTGTCCTATGGGGCATTCAGATGAATCTTCCCCCTTATGTCCTTCCATGTTCCTACTTCTGCTAATTTCACCACCATCTACCCAGGAGCTAAAGCTCTCAATTGGTATTTATATTCCACTACTTCTCTCTTGTCCTCACTCTAGACACTTAATTAGTTGTCTAATCTCAGGCAAAGAGAGGTGTCAGGTGGTACGAATTTGGTAAATCAAAACATTTGTAAGGCTAAAGATTAAAAGGATGTGATGAGCTTGTCTACCTTTGTTTTTTGCTTTGCTGTTTCAACAAGAGGTGTGTTAGCAAATGCCCATGACAGAGAAGTTAGTGGACTTCAGCAAAGGAAAGAAGCAGCAATGAAACACGGTTCAAGTGTTCATGTACACTGTGCTCAGAGTTTGTTCTGTGAAGACCCGTCCTTTCTTCATCAGGGAGATGGAGTATACCAAATCATGTGAAGGTTACAGAAATACTTCCTATGACTGCTTCAAGCAAATCTCTATGCTTTCTTCCTTAAATGTCGTGCAGTTAAAGAAAAGTGCTTACTCGTCCTGTCTTACTTTATATATTGGAGTAAGCTCAAAATAATTGTCAGGCAACAGCTGCTAATAATTACAGAGAAAGCATTTTATGTCTGCCCAGCCAAAGCACTTTTTGTGTTTGATATGATGAGCATTGGTGGACTGCTTCTTTCTCTACTTTACCCAGTTTCAACTTTTCTTACCTTTGGTTGTATTTATTTCTATGATAAGTACCACACCTGCCTCACTAACCCATCACATGTCCCTTTCTTGTTAGCTAAAGGCACCACCACGTCCAGTACAGACTCTGATCTTTGGTCTCTCAGCTTTTGACTAGCATGACATCAGCTGCCCAGGAATTGCCATGTCAGTCTGGAATCTGGAAGATAGAAAATGGTCCATAAAATAGTCTACTGCCCACTTCCAGATTCTCTGTGGTGTCTTGAGAATAAATTGTCTGAGTATATATTGTTAAGTATACTCAATTTGTGTCTGTGGCGATCTGCCTGGTATTCTTGTTAGAAAGAATTTTACAAAATGTTTAGGTGCCTCCTGTGTATTGGGTAATTGTTAAGCATGTTCACACATGCTAACTTATTTGAGCTTCTTTAGAAATCAGTAAGACATCAGTTTCAGATTTTACAGATACAGAAAATAGTTGACTCAAGTCACATAACTAGTAAATGGATGAATGGAAATACTATGAGCTTGGCCTGGCTTCTGTCAAAACCATGCTTCTTGCAATACATATATAAAATATCTGTTTCTGTCAAAACCATGCTTCTCGTTATATATATATATATATATATATATATAAAATATCTGGATAGCTGGATATAGATATTCAGGTATCTTTTCCTTCCTAGTTTTATATATATATAAAATAATAAATAATATATATATTTATATATATATAAAACATACACACACACACATATATGTAAGTGTAAGTTACATTATATATATATAAGTTACACTAGGGTAGCTAGCTACTATGTCTTACCTCTTGTCCCTGTATTTATTTATTTATTTATTTTTGGAGATAAGGTCTCCCTCTGTCACCCAGGCTGGGGTGCAATGGTGCGATCACAGCTCATTGCAGCCTTAACTTCCCAGGCTCAAGCAATCCTGCCATCTCTGTTTCCCAAGTAGCTGGGACTACAGATGCAGACCACCACTCCTGACTAATTTTTTTACGTAGAGACAGGGTTTCACTATGTTGCACAGGCTGGTCTTGAACTCCTGCGGTCAAGCAACTCTCCTGCTTCAGCCTCCCAGAGTGTTGGGATTACAGATGTGAGCCTTTGCACCTGGCCTCTTGTCCCTGTCTTAATTTTCCACCTTCAGTTTGTAGCTCAACATCAGAAAATTGCATTTCTTCTGGCCCTTTGACATTGGACAACCTGTCCTCTGCCTGCATTTTCACTTTTTGGTTACTTTAGCCTTTAACTTCTGGAAGAAAGAGATATTCAATAG